AGTCTGCCCTGCCTAACAGCTACTACTAATCTGTGCCAGCCTTGTCTGTCATTCATGATGCCCAAACAGGCACAACAGCTTCTGCCAGCTTTGCCACCTACTTCCTGATTCCTCAACACCCCTACCCCCCAAACCCCCCCCCCCACCATGATGTCTTGTCCTCTCTTTTTATCTCTACCAGGGCCCAGATCAGTAATGCACTTGCTCTGTGCTACTCGACAGCTGCTGGCTCCTGGCTTATCTTCTGGCACTCACTCTCACCACACACTGCTAAAGCCAAACCACAAGGTAAACTCTAGGCTCTCTCACACTGATGCTGGCCCTTTCTCTGACCCTTTGGAACATGTCACTGATACTTGATCTTCCTGGAAGTCCAGTGCTGGCTTCCTTCTCTGTACTCTTTCCCTCTTCCTAGACCCAGAGATGGAGGGAGCACTTTCCCCCATTTTTTGCTTTTGGAGTTCAGAGTTAGCAATGCTTCTTACCTCAAGCTCCCTTTTAGTTATTGTTACAGAGCCAGACTAGCTCAGCTGATTCCCAACCTGACCCAGATTTGCCTGGATGCTCTTGTCACCACCTGTCTGTCTTCTCTCCACAATTGCATCATTTCTTGGACACACTGACAACAATGAAGCCTCTACTCAGACTGCTTGGGGTATCACAAAGTAACAGATCAGAGTCAATGTTACTAAATGTAACTGGGGCAAAAGGAACTAATAAGGAAAGAGTAATGGAAAGGAGATGAGAATCTAAATGGGTTTATTAATAGAAGTAATGAAAATCATGAAAAGAAAGCACAGAGAAAGATTGTAGGAACAAGATATTAATATTAATATCATTAATAATAATATTAATAGTATTAAATGTATGTGACAACCAGCCCTACCCATTCAGAGCCTTAACATTTGACTAATGAGTAAATACTGTAGAGGCATTGATGAAAATAGCTAAGAAGGGTCTCTGATTCCTTTAAATAAAGTAGCAAAGTCTATGGATGTAAGGTAAAAAAACAGAAAAGTTAATAAAAAACTAATAATTTTAATGTGTTCCAAACATGAATTTATCATAAACCTTAGTAGACAATGTCACTGATTTTCATGAATTTAAATGTTTGAGAAGACAAGTGCTGAAAGGTGACATGATAGGGACAGTTTGCATGAAAAGTACCGTTTGCTTTGAAAACAAGGCAATATAGAACAATTCTTCCTAGCCATACAGTAAGGTTTCCTTTCTTGACAAAGGGTGGGTGTGGGTGGGAGGAGGAGCTTGCTTAAAGGCAAACCATTACAGCAATCAGCATTTTCATAAAAATATATTTTTTCAAATGCAGCATTAGCCAAAAGAGATATTAGACATTTGGGTGATCATCAAGATTTCTTTACATATAAATTAACACCTATGTCCCTGATCATAGTTTTAAATTTAAGGGAAATAATGGCTTAAAGACTTTTCTATTGAAATTATGGGTACCAGTTAGTATTTCTGTGTGAAGAGGAGAGAGAGGCTTTGGACGCTTTGGAATGCCTCCTCTCTCCCCTCTTCCCGTCTTGTCTTGCTGCCTTCCTTATTTTTTGAGATGCTGGGAATTGAACAAAGGGCTTAAGGGGTGCTGCACAAGGGCTTTATCATGGAGCTACATCCAGGGCATATATCCCTGCCCCTCCCCTGCCTTTAGACAGGGTGAATGTAGCCCAGGCTATCCTCAGACTCACTATATAGTTAAAAGATGATCTTGAGTTTCTCATCTCCCTATCTGCACTGTAAGAGCTGAGATTGTGAAGGTACACCACTGAACCTGGATGCAATATTATATTTTTTATTATGCTCAGCTATTTTTAAACTAATAGTGGTTTATAGCTATAATTGTAAATTTTTAAATTCTCTAAAATGACTGATATTTTAGTTTTTGTGAAAGGACTGGTGGGACATTCTGTGGCTTGTGGCTTTAAAAATAGAGCCCTGTTCTTTCACTGAGAAGGCTGAGAAACAGTAAGAAAAATGGCCAAATCAGCTGCAAGCTATCTAGCTGTCTGTCTGTCTGCTGTCTATCTATCTATCTATCTATCTATCTATCTATCTATCTATCTATCCATCCATCCATCCATCCATCCATCCATCCATCCATCCATCCATCTATTCATGTATGGAGACCAGGTTTCAATATGTAGCTTTGGCAACCTGCCACTCCCTTATGTAGATCAGAATGGCCTCAAAGTCAAAGATCTGTCTGCTTCTGCCTCCTGAGTGCTGGGATTTAAAGTATGCATCAACACACCTGGCTTTGCAAGGTGATCTTTAACTTATACAGTAGTACTCTTTATAATTTGTCTATACAAAGTCCCTACAAATGTGATAATGAACCCTAAAGTGGATCCTAAAACTGAGCCCTAGTCCACCCTAGTGACAAGAATGATGTCACAATCAGAGGAGAGATTAACTCTAAGGGCTCAGAGGTAAACGGATTATAGGTGTGAGTAAAATATGTGCAAAAGACAAAAGTCACAAACATATATTCACATAATTATTTAAACAGTCATGCTTACTCTGACCTAGATGAACATTACATTATATACACTCCTTATAAAATATTTCAATAAAAAGTTATTTTACACAGAAAACAAAATTCTACTAAAGTGCATAACTTAAATATATATATTGGGGCTTTAAAATGTATATTAATTTCAGAGATCAACACTAATTATCATTAGAAATAAATTGTCCAACTGATTAGTTTTAAAGCTGAGCAAAGAGAGATATCAACTGAATTAAACAAATCGCCTCAGGTAGCAATGTAAGGATTTAAATACAGAATCCATAAATCCTAGTGTGAGATCTCTTAACCCACCTTATAGTCTGAAGATTAGAAATACACACACGTACACACACACACACACACACACATGTACAGGTAAGTATGAATGTGTTTCTGTGGGTGTTCATGAAGGTCAGGGGTCAAGGTTGTCTTTTGAACCATCATTATCTCACTGGTAGCTGGGGCTTGCTAATTAGGCAGGGCATCCTTTGCCCTCAAGGGCTGGTATTACAAGCATGTGCTACTACTACTGCACCTGGTTTTAGTGGATACTGGAAATAGAACTCGGGCCTACATATCTGAGAGAGACAGGCATTTTATTTACTAAACCGTCTTCCCAGCTATGCTGTGTCCTGAATGGCTTGGTCCTGGAAATCTGACTGGGGTGACTCTGTGGTGAAGAAATGATAAGACACATGCCAAAAATCTGGGATTGGGCAGCCTATGCTGGCTCTGACGTTGGATACCTATTATGCAACCAGTAACGTAGAGGGTTTATTATGTACAACATGAGGAGGGGTTAGTGGGAGGTCTCCGTATGGGATCAGTCTCAGGTTGTACACATCAGGAAGGAGGAAGCTGCAGTTGATGTCTTTTGTACACTGGTTTGAGAAAAAGGTCAATAGTTCATCAACACTTCTGCTTGAGTCAGAGGAAAGGTTTGTCTTTTCTTAGAGCCTTGCTTGTGGCAGGCTTTACCATGTCCACTGGGTCTAGGGCACTCATACACTCTCTCAGGAACTTATCTGCTCCCCACACAGCTCAGTCTCTGATCTTCAGTATATATGAAAAACTTTTGGGGGAAATACTTAAATAGCTCAGATTCTTTTAAAATCTAGTGGTAAAGTCTGAAAATGTGCTTGATCTTTATTCAGTTTCATCATACCGAACAGAAGAGATTAAAACCATGGCTTTCTAAAATGTATGTGCGATCCTTCATTCTCTCCACTAAATGACATATTTTTGTATGTCTAAACTGTTCAGAGAATAAACAAATGCAGAAAAAATCAAGCCTTGGAGCCTAAGAGAAAGCAAACATTGATGGTGATTGTAGAAAAATGGTTAAATATTAAAAAGACTTTGTTAAAAAAAAAAGAAAAAAAACACATTTCAGAGCTATTAGAATATGGTGGTAGTTTATACAAGCAGCAACAAGGCATTGGGGCTGTGGGTCAGTGGTATACAGTATGTGCTTAGAAGTCATGAAGCCCTAAGTTCCTTCCCCAGCATCTACTACTCCACTGAGTTAAAACAATGCCACGTACATTGTTTAGGAACACATATATGTTGTCAAACATATATGAATATAATGAATATAAAACATGCATAGACTGATAAACACTGAATTCATGGGTGTGGTGCCTGTGGGGATGTTGGGCAGGGGCCTGGGATAGGAAACAGATCTCATCTGAATTACAAATACTTTAAAAGCCTTAAAAGTATTAAGTGGAGAGCTCTGGCAAACAATGACTTAGTCATTTCATTTTGTTATTCTTTATGTATTTTATTATCCTTGGAATATTTCATGATTTAAAAAAGAATGGGAGAATCAAGTTGCTATTGGGGGGGGGAGGGGACAGGGCTGAATGTTTGCTGCACTGAGATGATGCACTTTCCAGACTTTAGAACTGAGTATTTAAAAAATACACTAGACATTCAAGAACATGTAGACATATTTGGGTAGAATTCTACTACTATTGACATATGTGATATCCAGAGGAGTAATTTGATCTATCCTAAGGCTAGTTTATATGATGAAAGCTCCAGGCTTACATGTGGCCTCCTCTAAGGCGGTGGTTGTGAATCACCTTGTGTCTATGACCAGACTATCAGATTCCTTATTCTACTCTTTGCAAATAGTTCTGTGAGTTATATGGTGTTATTTCCAACCCTAGTGCTTAGGATCCTACATTACTCTTTCATCTGTTTGATTTTATCTAGAGCTACATATTATCCAACTTGGAGTTCTCGATTCCTGAGAAGGTAAGTGTGATATTTAAATCCCAGTTTCTCACTTGGAGTTCTGTCACCACCAAATATTGTGTTTAGTTCCTCTATTTATAGTTTGAAGAATGAAAAATGAATTCTGCTTTTACTTCTGTTTGAATTCAAATTCTTTTCACCTGATTTCACCACTTACAAGTTTTTCCGAACAGATAGGTAAATCAATTTGTAGCCAACACTAATATTTGGGACTACTAATGCAACTATTTATATTTAGGGGTACTTCAAACTATCACCATCTATGTAATTGCTAGAATGTCCTTTTTCTAATGGAATGATTGAGGGCTAAAGTACAACTATGACGTTCTTCAAAAAATGTCTTTCCAATGTAGCTTAAAAAGGACAGCAACAAAACAAAACCCCAAAACAAAACAAAAAACAGGGTAAGGAAAGGAGCTTTTCCAGGCTGTAGATGGTTGCCAGGTGCTTCCAGTGTGCCTTGGAGATGTTTGGTCTTGAAGCTCCCTCACAGAGGCCATCTCTACAGCTGATGCTTTCTTCTATGCACAGTGCTGCTACTTTGTTAATGTTCTTATTCAACGCTCCTACACTTTGTGAGGGAACATAGAACTCCACTTCTCTAAAAGAACTGCATGTGGTGTCATGTTTTAATTTGATCATTAGACTCTGAAAATGATAGCTATGATAAGTTTGCAAAATGGATACAGTTTTCTCTCTTTGAAAAATGTCCAGTTATCAAAAATGAAAGAAAATATAGTACACACAGGGAGAACTGTTTTTCAATAGGACATCTGACAGGAAAATGCTGCATCTTCTTCATTAGGAATCTGTGAAGAGACGGGAAGTAGCTCAGCAGTTAAGAAGGCTTGATCTTGCAGAGCAGGGTTTGATTCCCAGCACCCATACACAGGCTTATCACAGTCTCTAACTCCAGCTCTAGGAGATCTCATGTTCTCTTATGACCTCCCTGGACTCCAGGCATGCACATGATGCAAACGCAGGTGAACAAAACACTCATACATATGAAAATAAAATTTAAAAAGTATAAAGAAATAACTCTGTGAATAAAACTTTGCCCTCCATCTCTTTGATTGGAAACCTCCATCAGAGAGTGAGGTAACGCAATGGTGACATCCAGTGGCTGGTGTGGTTAATGCAGCAGCAACACATTTTACCACAGCAACTTCCTGTTTTCTGTGCGTACATTTCCTCTTGAAAACAGACACTAAATATACCTGTGAAGAAATAGAATGATATTATAATTAATAAATCTTTGGCTTTAATAGCATTAAAATCTTAGGCTTGACCTGAAAGATGGAAAAATCTTTTTAAACATGAATATACTGTCATTATTTCATTGTATTTTATTTTTTATTTTTTTAAAGATTTATTTATTTATTTTATTTATGAATATACTGTAGCTGTCTTCAGACACACCAGAAGAGGGCATCCAATCTCATTACGGATGGTTGTGAGCCACCATGTGGTTGCTGGGATTTGAACTCAGGACCTCTGGAAGAGCAGTCAGTGCTCTTAACCGCTGAGCCATCTCTCCAGCCCCCTGTATTTTATTTTTAATTGTAATTTAGGGAGGAACTCTTTAAAGAGATTAATATTTGGAACTTAAAATTTAAGAGGGCAAGGATGTGGCTTAGGTAGTAAAGTGGTTGCACATAGCATGAGGTCCCGGACTTGATCCAGAAGACCCACATAAGAAGCCATTGGGGTGGTAACTCTTGTAATCCCAGTGCTAGGAGGCAACCTATTCTAATTGGCAAGCCTTATATCCAAGTCTCTGTTTCAAAAAACCAAATTAAGTATATGGAGCTTCAGAGATGGCTCAGTGCATATAAGCACTTGTTGTTCTTGGAGAGGACCAGACCTGGGTTCAGTTCCCAGAACCAACATAACGGCTTAAAACCATCTGTGACTCTAGTTCCAGGAGTTCAGGAAACACCTTTGACTTCTGCACATAACAGGCATGTATGTGGTGTGTGTGTATGCACATAGATATAAATCTTTAAAATAAAACTAAACAAAAAGTCCCACCAAAGTGAACGGCCCTGAGAAATTATAACCTGAAATTGACCTCTGAGACCCACCTGCATGTATATACACATGTACATATACTTGCATACATATGTGTACCTATATATCATGCACACTCATAAGCATGCATACATACTCCCATACATATACAGACTCAGGAGACTTAAAACTTGAAAATGCCTCTGTAAACTCCACTGAAATTGTCTATACATAAATTGTATTAATATATCAAAATATAAAGACTGTGAAAAAACTTAGTTTTGTAAAGTACATTTATTTTATTTATTTGTAAAGTACGCTGTAGAGGTGAATATTTAATTGGCTTTAGGCTCTCAATGGGGCGCATACGACTCTTTTGCACCCGTTCAAGAGCTCTGGATTCACAAATAAAACACACACACACACACACACACACACACACACACACACACACCAGCTAATTTTGATATGCCTTGACTAGCCACTTCTAAACCTCCCTGAAACTAACACAGGTTCCTCTCCAGTATTCCTGAGTTAACATCTTTTAAAATCTGTATTTTATCTCTGCTACCCCAAACATAATCAGGGGAGTGGCCCCTAGGGCCCCTTTCCTGGATCCTTACATGTTGGCAGCCCTTTAAGTCTGTTCTCTTTGCTCCCTCCTCATGGGGATTCTCCCCCTCTCTGTCCTCTGCCTGCATAATCTAAAAGTCCTGCCTGTTTCCCTGTCCAGCCATTGGCTGTATGGCAATTCTTTATTACCAATCAAAGCCAGCTGGGAGCAGGTACCGTCAAAATTTGGAAGCAAGGTTTTGGGAGCGTGCACGCACGTGTGTACATGTGTGTCTGCACAGAGGTGGAAGAAGAGCTTTCTGCTCGTGAGGAAAGCACTCTTACTAAGTTATCGCCCCAGCTCTACACACCTACAGTAATATAAAAGCTGGGTGTGATGACTCATCCCTGTAATCTCATCACTGGAGAGGCTGAGGCAGGAAGACTACCATGAGTTAGACAATAGAGTTAGACACTAGCTTCAGAGTGACAGTGTCTCTCAAAACAAACAATAAAAACAAAAGTAATTGAAAAACTGAATGTACCACAGAGGTTGTGAAATGGAATATCACGACACACCCATCCTTCCTGAATTACAGTCTCCTTTTGAAAGTCTGAGCTGCATTATCAAATTACTGTCGAAAAACATAGTGTTCATTTGTATTCCTGTAAAGACTGTATCAGGCATCCTGTTTATATCATGACCCACAAAGTAACTATGGTTTGTAATGAGAATTTTGGTTTCTTTAAAAACCCAGAAATGTTATATGAATGTTTTTGTTTTAATTCTAGATGTGGGACATGAGGCTGCCTCAGATTGCCCACACCAGCAGGCTGTGACTTGTCTTATGCTCTGGCAAAGGCATGATTTTTCCAGTGGAATATAGTTGCCAGAGTCCCAAGAGAGTGAGGAGGCTGCTGCTGCCCTTGCTGCTGCTGCTGCTAGTTGCTGTTGTTGCAGTAAATCAGGTGGTTGTGAGCAAACAGATGAGAAGAAGAAACTGGATATCCTGATAACAAAGATTGGATTTGCCCCAAGTATCTGGACACCCCTAAACCAACAGGAAGTTGTCTAATAAGACTGATGTCCCACTTCACCTTTAACCTTTTCCTCTTACCTAGTGTTGGGGGTCAGAAGTTATTGGAGCGGAGAAGGGTGGTAGGTAAAAGAACCTAATAAAATAGCCAGAAATACGGTTACAATGGTTTATTGTGCTCAGTAGTAAAAAAGTAGATCAAATTTTATCAAATGTCACATTGACATCTAAAATTTCTCTTTATTCCTACAATGTACTTGTGCATATAATCCAGCTTACTGTGCAACATTATGATATTTGGCACAGGAGGAGGCATCTGTTGGCATATATACATATATACTGACCTATACTGGGCTAGTGGACGATCCACTACCCCAGAAAGGCTGAGGCAAGTGGCTCAAACCTAATGACAGCATCTGCATCTCAGTACAGGAAGGGGATCTAGTTTACACAGTTTAATCAGCTTCTCTTCTTCTCTTGAACTGCTCACTTTGTAGTATCAGACTGATACTTAGCCTGGTGAAGGCTTAATAGAAAATGTGTCCTAGTGTCAGAAAGAAGTTCTCTTATTGGTACAGGACCCTGATTTCCAAACTATGTAAGCTATAGAACTATGGCATATATATGTGTGCATCTGGGTAAGAATTTACATATATACTTTAAATTTTTTCATATGTATGAGAGTTTGGACAGTGTCCATGGAGTTCAAAAGAGGGGACCAGATCTAATATGGGAAATCTAGGGTGTCTACAAGAGCAGCAAGTGCTCTTAACCACTAAGCCATCTCTCTAGACTCTACAAATACACTTACACTTTTAGGTTAAATAAGAAATTTCTAAAATTCTGTATGGACAATTATTACATTAAAAACTCTTTATGTACATGAGTTACTTATAGATACGTACATATCATGTCAACTAGAAAACATGAAGAAATAAGAGTTGCTACCTTAGATTGATGAGATTAAATATTATATTAGTCACCTTTCTGCCCCTGTAAAGGAATTTTTCCAATGACCTGGAAAACCAGTTTAGAAGTGGTATGGATCAGAGAATACCATCTCACATGAACTGGCTGTGACTTTCTTGTAAACTGACCTACTGCTATAGTTTCTCTGCCATCCTTATAAATGTATGTGGTTTATAAGAGGGGTGCCTCAAGATTTCTACTTCCTTGAGTACTATGTAATAAGCTGTGATTTGCTGTAGAAATGAATAAAAACTCTCTGTGGTAAAGAATGACTTTCATAGATACAAATGTTTTGTGACATACATAAAATAACTGTTACAAGACTAAAGTTCTGTTTGTCAGGGGAGATGCAGGAAGATGGCTCTGTTAAGGTCAATCCTTAAATGAAAACGTACATGAGAGATATGAATTGGGTAGAATGCTGAATCTTGTGGCGATTTTTCCTTGTTAATCAGGGTGCTGTTTTCAGATGCCCGAGACTCCTAGCAGATGTCTAAAGAGCAACAATTTGCATCATGCTTTGGAACTTTGTCCATGTGGGCAATGTTGTGGTCCTTCCCCTTAACTTTGTGTTCTAATCTCAACAGGGCTAAGATGTTCCCACACTATTGTTTATCATCACACAGGATAGAAGACATGAAGTGATTGTGCAAAAGCTCTAAATGATGGGAGCCAGAATGATGTAAAATAGAAACACATGGTTAACATAAAATTGTAAGGCTTGTCTTAGTTAGGATTTCTATTGTTGTAAAGCAGTATCATGACCAAAGCAACCTTTATAAAGGAAAACATTTAACTGGGGCTGGCTAACAGTTTAGTCCATTATCATCATGGCAGAAAGTGTGGCAGCGTGCAGACAGATATGGTGTTGGAGAAGGAGCTGAGAGTTCTATATCAGGATCTGCCGACAGCAAGAAGGGAATGCCACACTGGGTGTGGCTTGAGCATCTAAGACCTCAAAGCCTACCCCCAGTGACACACTTCCTCCAACAAGGCCTCACTTCCTAACAGTGCTATTCCCTATAGGCCTATGAGGGCTTTTGTATTCAAAGTGCCACAAGACTTTCTGTAAAAAGTGTTCTATTAATTACTACGTGGTTAGTCCTAAGTGAAATACTCTTTTCTCTACAGCCCATGTAAGATAAGTATTATTTAATTGACAATATTTATTACTATCATGCAAAAAGAATTCCGTGGAAGCATTGGAAAAAATGGTTAAAATACATTTAATCAAAGCCTACTATGGGGCAGACATATTAGTGAATTGTAGCATACAGTACTTGTGGCATACAATACTCGTAGCATGCAGTACTTGTAGCATACAGTACTCGTAGCATGCAGTACTTGTAGCATACAGTTAATGGAAATTCTGTTTTACATGGAAGCATGCAAGCCTCAGAATGTAGCAAGGGTGAGACTGAACATGGCATCTGGAGTTTATCTAAAAGGTAATCAAAGAGATTATCCTGTAATGATACCCAGTACACTCCACAGTTAAAAGAGGAGTTCCATAATGTTTTTGTCTTCATTCTACAGTTGACTTTGGTTATCCATTCCTGCAACAGAACTAAGCATTTTTCCACTGGACATCAAAGTTGTGAAACATAAATCCCTTTAAGGGTAAACTCCTGAATTTTTGAAGAATGAAT